CTGGTTCTTGTCAGGACTAATGTGGTCGTACTTCCTGGTTCTAGTCAGGACTAATGTGGTCGTACTTCCTGGTTCTAGTCAGGACTAATGTGGTCGTACTTCCTGGTTCTAGTCAGGACTAATGTGGTCGTACTTCCTGGTTCTAGTCAGGACTAATGTGGTCGTACTTCCTGGTTCTAGTCAGGACTCGAGCTGCTGCATTTTGAATGTACTGCAGCTGTTTTACAGCCTGTTTGGACAGACCTGTGAGCAGGCCATTGCAGTAGTCTAACCTACTGGAGACAAATGCATGGATAAGAATCTCCAAGTCTGCTTTAGACACTATGTTTTTGATCCTGGCAATGTTTTTTAGATGGTAAAAAGCTGCTGATGTTACTGATTTGATGTGGCTATTAAAATGTAAGTCTGAGTCCAGTATTACCCCTAGATTTCTGACCTTGTTTGAAGGTTTTATGGAGAGAGACTGTAGATGACAGATGACGCTCTAAGAGTAAGACATTTGCCAGTGACTTTTCTTAATCTTAAAGTGTGAAGCAGAAAGTTAAGGAGCAGGAGAAAACTGGTGCAGAGAACCAAAAAACTGAACTTTGTTTAATCTGCCTGATTGACAAATCTTACAATTTACTTGCACCTCGGTGAACTACTCATAAATTCCGTTGGTCTACTGTTACTTGGCATAATGTTTTTGGCAACCCAGGAAACCAATACAAAAAATAATGCAGGAAAAAAGCAGTGCCTTATAGTCCGAAAAATATTTCTTCTACTTTTAAGCTGTGGGAGGTCATTTTGACCCGAGAATAGCATAAGAGTTAAAGTACTTCTGGAAGCATCTTATTTTTTTTATTATTCTCTATTATTTCAGGTTTCCCTGTTTCATCAAGGCAGTGTGTGAAGAGTGGTCTGAGGAGGAGACAGCGGCTGTGTTGAAGCATATGAAGCCTTTTATTGAGAATGGTGTAAATGCGACCATGCTGCAGTGTGAGAAGCTCCAGAAAATGGAACACCCGACCTTGGAGGCAAGATCCATTCAGAATATTAGGGATTTTGTACGGAACAGAGGCTTGGCCTTCAAAAGGAAGTCTAAGGGTAAATGCTAAATGGACTTTTAGTTTGCTCAACCATGCTTTTATTTTTTTTGAATTTTCAGAAGTGTTTTTTTCTGTGATTTCTGGAGCTTATTCTCTAATTCTTAATGCTGTCCTGTTCTTGAACACATTTCATGAGGAGCACAAATACAGTTCATTGATACAGCCAACATGGTTTGTTTATTATTATTAAGAAATCTATAATACTTTTTATCTCAGGTCATGTATGATTGTGTGCTGTGGACCAGTGATACCTGTTCATGCAGTGGGGATATTTCGCATGTTTGGATATTGATTGTTGAGGTCGTCCTAATAGATAAAGGCATTGTTTTTGTGTTTAGTCATTTAAAACATGCCTACAGTATTATAGAAATACGTTTAACATGTTAGTGTATAACCACTAAACTTATTTTTATACTATTACACTATTTGAAGGTTTGGAATGTGTATATAATATGCATTTCTCAATCTGTAAAAGTAGCCTTATGTAAGTCAATTGGGGGGAGGCGCTGTACTAGTGCTCCTTTTGACACTTCCACCTCTTTTCCTTTTAAGGAATAGCAGGATTGAGACGGTAAAGCCAGTTAAAACTAGGTATAAGTTGTTGAATTCAGTGAAAGTGTCGAATTAACACCATTACTAACCCAAAAATTTGCAGTGGATGGAAGAATAAGTCTAGATAGACAATGTGTCCTTTCAGAACGGGTTATACATAGTGTGTGTGTGTATGATGACATCACTGACCTTGTAAACCACACTGTCCTTATAGACCGTTTTTTTCATGATCATTGATATGATTTTTGAGGCTCTAGCACCACGGGAACCCAGTGTCCCCGTATACCTATGTACAGTCTGGTTTAAAGGGATTTTAGAAAAAATGTCCTTACAACGTCTCAAACGTGTGTGTGTGTGTGTGTGTGTGTGTGTGTGTGTGTGTGTGTGTGTGTGTGTGTGTGTGTGTGTGTGTGTGTGTCTGTGCGTGTGTGTTGCTCTATACAGTGACACTTGACCTCTCGCTGTAATGGATCCAAACGTCTGGTTTTATTCAACAAGTGAAACTCGGAAAAATACAATATCTTCCACAAGTTAATTTATTTCTGTGATTCAACTTAAAAAGTGAAACCAATAAATTGTAAAATAATAATAATAATTGATCAGTTTCAAACAGCGCTTGTTTGGACCCTGTCTCTTTGCTTTTGCTCCAGGAGTAAGAATCATGTATCGTAGCGTTATGCAAGTGCTTCCTGTAGTAATTAGTCAAACCTCCAGAGGGCGCTGTTCCGGAGCATTAACGTACTGTACAGAAAACAAGACACGGGGATAGAAAGTAAACGCATTTATTGAGCAGAATATTTAGGTTTATTCTGAACAGTACAACTTTATATGAGAAATTACTACAAGTTTAGCAGAAGAATCGCAGTTTACTTCCTGGTTCTGGTATTTTTACTAGTCCTACACAGCACACGTCACAGAGATTAAGTGTATTGCTGCAGAATATTAGACAATTAATTATTATTATCATTATTATATAGATACAAATATATTTTTTACAATTACGGATTACATTAATTGCACAGTGATTGTTACAGATACAAAAATGTAACGTTTTGTCACTACACCGCATGGCGCTCGTGTGCTTATGCTAACGCTAACGTTCGACAATCCTTGTTTATAAAATGTATTCAAAAATGTGCTGTCAGGTCTTCTTCATGCATTTCTTCTACAAGCCTTAATTTACCCACAACGACATCTGACAAAGTTTTTCTTATGACCATAGACTGTGTACAGATGGACAATGCTAACACGCTAGCATAACAAAACCCCAATAGGGAAGTACTCCAACTCTCTCTGGCTTCTCTTGACTTGATTTCAAAAGTGAATTCCTCCGTTTTATGTCTTTGATTCTGCCGTTTTGTTTTTTGTCTTTTGTTCATTTAGTTTTTTTCAGTTCTTTGATAGTTCTTTATCATCTGAAATAAGCCCACCATTTTGATGCTAAAAATATCTGCGGATTCTAGTATATTTTTGGATATTTTCTTTGTATAGAATCTTACACATAAGTATTGACCAATCAGACGCCTTCATTCGCAGAGGAAACTCCAGATTTTCCCTAGCAACCACCTTAGCAACACGTCTGCCCCTGTCACCACACAAATACTGGAACAAATGCCCATATAAGGAAATTGGCTCCAGCTTCTGTTTAAATCGTCTTCGTCCGCATTAACGCCAACTCTGTGATGTCACACTCTTTATATACGGTCTATGGTCAAATCTCACATTTAAAGCTGCTCTATGTAACTTTAACTTTAAGACTGTGTGTGTGTGTCTGTCTGTGTGTTTGTGTGTCTAAATGTGGATGTGTGTGTGTATATTTGCGCGTATTTCTGTATGTGTGTGGATGTGTCTCTGTGTGTGTGTATGTGTTAGCGCGTGTCTGTCTATCTGTCTGTGTGTGTGTCTCTCTCAGTGTGGGTGTGTGTGTGTGTGTATTTGAGCGTGTGTGTGTCTGTCTGTGTGTTTGCGTGTGTGTGTCTAAATGTGGATGTGTGTGTGTATGTTTGCGCGTGTTTCTGTCCGTGTGTGGATGTGTCTCTGTGTGTGTGTTAGCGCGTGTCTGTCTGTTTGTGTGTGTGTGTGTGTCTCTCAATGTGGGTGTGTGTGTGTGTCTGTCTGTTTGTGTGTGTGTGTGTTTTTGCGCGTATTTCTGTATGCGTGTGGATGTGTGTGTGTTTGCGTGTGTGTGTCTAAATGTGGATGTGTGTGTGTATGTTTGCGCGTGTTTCTGTCTGTGTGTTTCTGTATGTGTGTGGGTGTGTGTCTGTCTGTGTGTTTGTGTGTGTGTTTACACTTTATTTCTGTATCTGTGTGGATGTGTGTCTCTGTGTGTGTTAGCGCGTGTCTGTCTATCTGTCTGTGTGTGTCTCTCTCTCAGTGTGGGTGTCTGTGTGTGTTTGAGCGTGTGTGTGTCTGTCTGTTTGTGTTTCACTGAAGCATTAATCTTGTTATCTTCAAACATGCAAACTGCACTGAACCCCTTCAACGCGCCCCTCGCTCTCAAAACATTTTACTTCTATCTCCAACTTCCACATGCATGTATCTCCCCCCCTCTTTCTCATCTTAATATTTTTATACTTTTAAACATATTCATCTATTTGCTTGATAAATATTACACAATCCACATTTAGAAGCGCTTTTAGCACAATTAAAGACAATTTGGATCAGCCTTTTTTAGACAGAAAAGTGAAAAATACAGTTTCCATTCTGAAAGTAATGCACAAAATCACTGCAAAAAAGAGAAGAAAAAAAGTCAAGAATTGCACAAATTTGAGCACATTCTGGACTAAGTCTTAAAACCAAGATTCTCCAATGGGACAAAACAAAATGATCTTGTTTTAAAAAGATACAGAAATGACTGAATGGCTTCATCCCAGAGGAGAATCTTGTTTAAAAAACAGTCAGAATGTGTCCAGATTGAGATAAAAAACGACTCTATTTAAGCATTTACCGCCTCATGTTTTACAGTGTATTCCAGAAGAAGAATGCTGCATGTTCTACCTTTACAAAATGCATCATAAATTGTCTTGTTTTTTAAGATATTTCGGCGGTGGCTTCAAAACAGCGCACAGAAAACTCACACACAAACATGAAACTGCTGCATATTTGCTGATGGCTCCGTTACGCTGTAAGAAACCGGCTACAAAGTCTCATGTGTCACATCTACAGCGAATCAGAAAGAAGCCAGCTCCTCCTTTGTGCTTGACTGTGCTTCAGTGTGGGTCCCAGCAGGGGGCAGTGTTTCCTACGACATGGGGCTCTCCTCCTCCATCCTCCTCCTCGTGAGGTCTACGGGGCTATTGCAGGAGAGGAGGCCGGAGAGGAGGCCGGAGAGGAGGCGGTGAGGAGGCGGTGAGGGACATGTACACGGTGGAGGCGCTGGAGCGAGGCCCTCAGCTGTACGGCCCCTCACAGAACCTCTTCCTCTTTGACGTAAAGGATTTCATGAGCAGAGCTGGGCACCTGGGAACAGAGACAGGACAAGCCGCGAAGAATAAGGGTCTCCCCAGGAGATAGAGAGATGGGTAGAAAAAATAGATAGATAGACGGAAAGATAAGGTCCAGACAGATAGAAACTTTACTGATCCCTTTTGGAGAAATGCAGGAGTCCAGCAGCAGAAACACATCCATCCCAAACACACAAATAAATACATGATTCCAAATGTTTACTTTAGAATGTTCTGGAAACTGCAGCGAGTCCTAAATGTCTCTGAAACTGTTGTTTTGTGTTTTATACCATTTTTGTTCTGCCTGAGATGTTGCTGCAGTTCAGTTTTCACTGGTCCAGACCAGAGCAGAGAGGATTCATGGTTTTACACTGGTCCAGACCAGAGCAGAGAGGATTCATGGTTTTACACTGGTCCAGACCAGAGCAGAGAGGATTCATGGTTTTACACTGGTCCAGACCAGAGCAGAGAGGATTCATGGTTTTACACTGGTCCAGACCAGAGCAGAGAGGATTCATGGTTTTACACTGGTCCAAACCAGAGCAGAGAGGATTCATGGTTTTACACTGGTCCAGACCAGAGCAGAGAGGATTCATGGTTTTACACTGGTCCAGACCAGAGCAGAGAGGATTCATGGTTTTACACTGGTCCAGACCAGAGCAGAGAGGGTTCATGGTTTTACACTGGTCCAGACCAGAGCAGAGAGGATTCATGGTTTTACACTGGTCCAGACCAGAGCAGAGAGGATTCATGGTTTTACACTGGTCCAGACCAGAGCAGAGAGGATTCATGGTTTTACACTGGTCCAGACCAGAGCAGAGAGGATTCATGGTTTTACCACATGGTCCAGACCAGAGCAGAGAGGATTCATGGTTTTACACTGGTCCAGACCAGAGCAGAGAGGATTCATGGTTTTACACTGGTCCAGACCAGAGCAGAGAGGATTCATGGTTTCACACTGGTCCAGACCAGAGCAGAGAGGATTCATGGTTTTACACTGGTCCAGACCAGAGCAGAGAGGATTCATGGTTTTACACTGGTCCAGACCAGAGCAGAGAGGATTCATGGTTTTACACTGGTCCAGACCAGAGCAGAGAGGATTCATGGTTTTACACTGGTCCCAGACCAGAGCAGAGAGGATTCATGGTTTTACACTGGTCCAGACCAGAGCAGAGAGGATTCATGGTTTTACACTGGTCCAGACCAGAGCAGAGAGGATTCATGGTTTTACACTGGTCCAGACCAGAGCAGAGAGGATTCATGGTTTTACACTGGTCCAAACCAGAGCAGAGAGGATTCATGGTTTTACACTGGTCCAGACCAGAGCAGAGAGGATTCATGGTTTTACACTGGTCCAGACCAGAGCAGAGAGGATTCATGGTTTTACACTGGTCCAGACCCAGAGCAGAGAGGGTTCATGGTTTTACACTGGTCCCCAGACCAGAGCAGAGAGGATTCATGGTTTTACACTGGTCCAGACCAGAGCAGAGAGGATTCATGGTTTTACACTGGTCCAGACCAGAGCAGAGAGGATTCATGGTTTTTACACTGGTCCAGACCAGAGCAGAGAGGATTCATGGTTTTACACTGGTCCAGACCAGAGCAGAGAGGATTCATGGTTTTACACTGGTCCAGACCAGAGCAGAGAGGATTCATGGTTTTACACTGGTCCAGACCAGAGCAGAGAGGATTCATGGTTTTACACTGGTCCAGACCAGAGCAGAGAGGATTCATGGTTTTTACACTGGTCCAGGAGAGGAGAGGATTCATGGTTTTACACTGGTCCAGACCAGAGCAGAGAGGGTTCAGAGAGGATTCATGGTTTTACACTGGTCCAGACCAGAGCAAAGAGGATTCATGGTTTTACACTGGTCCAGACCAGAGCAGAGAGGATTCAGACACTGGTCCAGACCAGAGCAGAGAGGATTCATGGTTTTACACTGGTCCAGACCAGAGCAGAGAGGATTCATGCACTGGTCCAGACCAGAGCAGAGAGGATTCATGGTTTTACACTGGTCCAGACCAGAGCAGAGAGGATTCATGGTTTTACACTGGTCCAGACCAGAGCAGAGAGGATTCATGGTTTCACACTGGTCCAGACCAGAGCAGAGAGGGTTCATGGTTTTACACTGGTCCAGACCAGAGCAGAGAGGATTCATGGTTTTACACTGGTCCAGACCAGAGCAGAGAGGATTCATGGTTTTACACTGGTCCAGACCAGAGCAGAGAGGATTCATGGTTTTACACTGGTCCAGACCAGAGCAGAGAGGATTCATGGTTTTACACTGGTCCAGACCAGAGCAGAGAGGATTCATGGTTTTACACTGGTCCAGACCAGAGCAGAGAGGATTCATGGTTTTACACTGGTCCAGACCAGAGCAGAGAGGATTCATGGTTTTACACTGGTCCAGACCAGAGCAGAGAGGGTTCATGGTTTTACACTGGTCCAGACCAGAGCAGAGAGGATTCATGGTTTTACACTGGTCCAGACCAGAGCAGAGAGGATTCATGGTTTTACACTGGTCCAGACCAGAGCAGAGAGGATTCATGGTTTTACACTGGTCCAGACCAGAGCAGAGAGGATTCATGGTTTTACACTGGTCCAGACCAGAGCAGAGAGGATTCATGGTTTTACACTGGTCCAGACCAGAGCAGAGAGGATTCATGGTTTTACACTGGTCCAGACCAGAGCAGAGAGGATTCATGGTTTTACACTGGTCCAGACCAGAGCAGAGAGGATTCATGGTTTTACACTGGTCCAGACCAGAGCAGAGAGGATTCATGGTTTTACACTGGTCCAGACCAGAGCAGAGAGGATTCATGGTTTTACACTGGTCCAGACCAGAGCAGAGAGGATTCATGGTTTTACACTGGTCCAGACCAGAGCAGAGAGGATTCATGGTTTCACACTGGTCCAGACCAGAGCAGAGAGGATTCATGGTTTTACACTGGTCCAGACCAGAGCAGAGAGGATTCATGGTTTTACACTGGTCCAGACCAGAGCCGAGAGAATTCATGGTTTTACACTGGTCCAGACCAGAGCAGAGAGGATTCATGGTTTTACACTGGTCCAGACCAGAGCAGAGAGGATTCATGGTTTTACACTGGTCCAGACCAGAGCAGAGAGGATTCATGGTTTCACACTGGTCCAGACCAGAGCAGAGAGGATTCATGGTTTTACACTGGTCCAGACCAGAGCAGAGAGGATTCATGGTTTTACACTGGTCCAGACCAGAGCAGAGAGGATTCATGGTTTCACACTGGTCCAGACCAGAGCAGAGAGGATTCATGGTTTTACACTGGTCCAGACCAGAGCAGAGAGGATTCATGGTTTTTACACTGGTCCAGACCAGAGCAGAGAGGATTCATGGTTTTACACTGGTCCAGACCAGAGCAGAGAGGATTCATGGTTTTACACTGGTCCAGACCAGAGCAGAGAGGATTCATGGTTTCACACTGGTCCAGACCAGAGCAGAGAGGATTCATGGTTTTACACTGGTCCAGACCAGAGCAGAGAGGATTCATGGTTTCACACTGGTCCAGACCAGAGCAGAGAGGATTCATGGTTTTACACTGGTCCAGACCAGAACAGAGAGGATTCATGGTTTTACACTGGTCCAGACCAGAGCAGAGAGGATTCATGGTTTTACACTGGTCCAGACGAGAGCAGAGAGGATTCATGGTTTTACACTGGTCCAGACCAGAGCAGAGAGGATTCATGGTTTTACACTGGTCCAGACCAGAGCAGAGAGGATTCATGGTTTTAACACTGGTCCAGACCAGAGCAGAGAGGATTCATGGTTTTACACTGGTCCAGACCAGAGCAGAGAGGATTCATGGTTTTACACTGGTCCAGACGAGAGCAGAGAGGATTCATGGTTTTACACTGGTCCAGACCAGAGCAGAGAGGATTCATGGTTTTACACTGGTCCAGACCAGAGCAGAGAGGATTCATGGTTTTACACTGGTCCAGACCAGAGCAGAGAGGATTCATAGTTTTACACTGGTCCAGACCAGAGCAGAGAGGATTCATGGTTTTACACTGGTCCAGACCAGAGCAGAGAGGATTCATGGTTTTACACTGGTCCAGACCAGAGCAGAGAGGATTCATGGTTTTACACTGGTCCAGACCAGAGCAGAGAGGATTCATGGTTTTACACTGGTCCAGACCAGAGCAGAGGATTCATGGTTTTACACTGGTCCAGACCAGAGCAGAGAGGATTCATGGTTTTACACTGGTCCAGACCAGAGCAGAGAGGATTCATGGTTTTACACTGGTCCAGACCAGAGCAGAGAGGATTCATGGTTTTACACTGGTCCAGACCAGAGCAGAGAGGATTCATGGTTTTACACTGGTCCAGACCAGAGCAGAGAGGATTCATGGTTTTACACTGGTCCAGACCAGAGCAGAGAGGATTCATGGTTTTACACTGGTCCAGACCAGAGCAGAGAGGATTCATGGTTTTACACTGGTCCAGACCAGAGCAGAGAGGATTCATGGTTTTACACTGGTCCAGACCAGAGCAGAGAGGATTCATGGTTTTACACTGGTCCAGACCAGAGCAGAGAGGATTCATGGTTTTACACTGGTCCAGACCAGAGCAGAGAGGATTCATGGTTTTACACTGGTCCAGACCAGAGCAGAGAGGATTCATGGTTTTACACTGGTCCAGACCAGAGCAGAGAGGATTCATGGTTTTACACTGGTCCAGACCAGAGCAGAGAGGATTCATGGTTTTACACTGGTCCAGACCAGAGCAGAGAGGATTCATGGTTTTACACTGGTCCAGACCAGAGCAGAGAGGATTCATGGTTTTACACTGGTCCAGACCAGAGCAGAGAGGATTCATGGTTTTACACTGGTCCAGACCAGAGCAGAGGATTCATGGTTTTACACTGGTCCAGACCAGAGCAGAGAGGATTCATGGTTTTACACTGGTCCAGACCAGAGCAGAGAGGATTCATGGTTTTACACTGGTCCAGACCAGAGCAGAGAGGATTCATGGTTTTACACTGGTCCAGACCAGAGCAGAGAGGATTCATGGTTTTACAC